GGAGCCAAACCAGGCAAGAAAACCCATAATATAAGCAGCCTTTTAGCTGAAAAGTCAGATGAGTAACATGAGGCAATTTAACAGGCCATAGATACAAGCTTAACGACGCAGATGAGGTTCCTGAAAGGCTAAACCCAAAGAAAGTGGGTAGAATTTTGTCTTAAAGTTGAAAAATAAGGGAAATTACTGCAAGACTGTCAACAAATGATCTCATACACAGATATTTATACACATTTTCTTCCTTCTTTGGCAAATGTCATAGCAATAGGAAGTGTTATTTGAGTTCCCAACCAGAAAAGGTAAAACAAAGATCACCTACTTTGAGAAAAGTACCTGATGTTTATTCCCCAATTTGACCAGTGAATCTAGTAAAAGATGTAGAGAGCAGGTATTTCTAAATGCTGTTCCTGCTGCTGGTGCTGCTGTTGTTTTAAGGACAGAGGTGGCCCTGGCGTGGGTGCTGCTGTGCTTCTTCACATCTTCTTTGTCACCCACACTGCAGCAGTCAGAAGATATGCTATCCTCTGTGGTTATTTTGTAGATTTCATGGACAGAACAGTTTACCTTCTAAGAAAACGCTCTATTTATAGCTTATGGAAACGCAGAGAAGTATTTTTGTTAAAGCTGGTGCTTTTTTCACTGCAATGTGATCATATGCTATACATTGAATAAATAAATCTGACACATTGGAAAAGTTAAAGTTAAGAACAATATTACAACTGTCAATACATCTTTCAAAGATGGAACATCTCTTGATCGTGACTGCAAAAAGCGGGGCCACAGTTGCATTCATTGTTCAGTGAGCTTGTCCACACAGTTCAACCCACCGACAGCAATGAATGTTGATTGTGACCTTTCAAAAAATAAATCTCTGCACAGAGAAGAGAAAATCCTGGTGCATCCTGCTTTGGTTTCTTGTCTTCAGCAAATTCTGAGAGCCATGGAGCAGATGATGGTTAGCCATAGGGTACAATCAACGGTCGATGGTTTTGATTTTAATTCCAAACTCACCGACAGCGTTGAATGTTCACTGAAGCAACCTCTAAACTCAGAATTCTGCTGACTTTTTAGTATCTGTAAGTATCTGAAAGGGTGAGGAGAGAATAAATACAGCAGTTTTAATCATAAATTTCATGCAGTTTAAACCATTTCATAAGAACACGAAAGAAGAGAAAGAAGCAAAGTTCTTGCAACCAAGGGTATGGCAAGTTGCCACATCACATTGCATGAGAGAAAAAGCTCTGTTTCACTGAGTTAAAAAATGTGCATCTTAGTTGTAGTTCTCAAAATGGAATTATCTCATGAATGACAGGGAGAATTGGTAATCAAAGTACTTTGAGATATCATATCAAAACCATATCTTATTACTTAAACATTTCTATGCTTATAGTGGTGCAGTGGTTAAGTGTTCAGCTGCTAACCAAAGGTCAACAGTTTGAATCCATCAGCCGCTCCTTGGAAACCATGTGGGGCACTTCTTCTCTGCTCTATAGGGTCGCTATCAGTGGGAATCAACTGGATGGCAATGGGTATGCTTATAGTAGGTAAACATGATGTATGCAGGTTATACAATTTAACAGAATTTTCTTAGATTTCCTCAAATTAAATAAATGTTGGTCAGTGTTACTTTTTGGAGCCCTGGTGGCACAGTGGTTAAGAGCTCCGGCTGATAACCAAAAGGTCAGCAGTTTGAATCCACCAGGTGCTCCTTGGAAACCCTGTAGGGTAGTTCTACTCTGTCCTATAGGGTCGCTATGAGTGGGAACCCACTTGATGGCAACAGGTTTGGTTTTTTGTTTTTTGTTACCTTTTTATATTTAATGTAATTTTTTTTTCTAGAATAAAGTTTTAAGATTACTATAAATTATAAAAAAAGTCTTATAGAAAAAATGCTGAATACTGAACAAATTACCCATAAAGAAACCAGCACAATCCATTTTCCCTAGCTTATTGCACAAAGATTTCATGAATACTGTGAAAGATAAACATTATCTATGCATGTTACAATACTATTCATTTCCAACCCTGTTGGATATGAAACTCATAATACCTTTTTTTCTTTTGATTCTTTTCACATCTTTCGTCAAGAGTGCTTTATGATTTATTCTTATTGTTAAATTATTGTGACCACTATTAAACATATTTTAGAACCATTTTCAATCATCAATTAAAAAAAAAGAAGTCACTTTAGATATTTCAGAACCAGGATCGAAAGTCACTATTTCATACACTTAATGGCATCCAACGTGGTTATAATTATCTGAAAGTTAGACATGCCACAACAATTTGGAATACTACTTTGAACGTGACCATGGTCTATTCAAGCAAATTGTTCTTGGAAATATTAGTGAAATCGGTATTTTAAATTTTTACGCATTCTGACATTTCATGCAATTGGAGTATTATAAGACCACTAAACATTTGATAACTTGTAGACAAATTGTTTACTGTAATTAAATGGTTTTTTGGGGGAAAGAGAGGCTAGTGATCTATTGGAAGTAGGTATTGAGGTGATAGCCATAGAGTAAAAAACAATGATTAATCTGAATTCTGCAGTGTTTAATTATTTTGAAATAAGTAAACTTTTTCTAGAGAATAAAACTCTTTAGAAGAACTCTTTATAAGTAGGCTTATCTATGTTTGCTGCTGGAAACAGTGCTATCACAGAGTTTGGAATTCATTTGTGTATATAGCTGAAGACATATCATTCCCGTTCTGTTGCCTGCCTATTAGTGGCAGGCCAATATTCAACTGTTTTCAACCATGCCTATTCATCTCTTGTTACATCTGCTAACATTTGTATAGTAGGGATGCTATATGATACATGACTTTAAACTGTATTTTGCACTAACACAAAATATGCATTTGGTCTACTAATAAGCAAAGCTCTAGGAAGTTATTAATTTCAATGAATAACCATATTATTATTTGTTTTCCAAAAATATTTGTTCTGCAAGTCCTTTGAAGTTCATAATTAACTTAAACTTAAATTCTTTAATATAACAATAAAATAAATTTTAAAAAATAAAAATAATCTGCTCATAATCATAAGAAATCACATTAAATATCTTGTCATACACACATAAAACAGCAACTGTAAATAACTGATTTTTGTCCTCTTCCCTTGGAATAAAATCGTATTTTACGTAGTCCGAGTTTGTTGAAGATAAAACCTCGTCTGTGAGCAGTTTGAATTCTCCATAACTAGAAATAGGATTTCTGGGTTCTTCTTGTAGTTAGCTTAGTGCCAGAGAAGAGAATAAATTTCAGGGATTTATAGTCAAGATTATTTATGTTCCATATAGAGAAATTACTCTACTTTCTGCTTCAACTCAGGTTTCTACTCATTCATGTGTTTTGTATCTTCTAACCCTATGTTTCCCACCCCTTTATTTTCATGACTTAATCCTTGGCTATGCAATATTTTTCTTTAAAATATTGAGATTCAACACTCCTGAGATTTTACATTTTCTGTAAGAAAGTATGCAGTCCGATTCTTATTTTTTTAGATCACATTATTCATAATTTCAAAATTCTAAGCGAATGGTAGCAGTCTGTATTCTTGTAGTTTTCATTGAATCAAAACAGCCACAAGCAATAGACCATTTGTGAATAAACACCCTCCTATTCACCCCCACCCCAACCCCCTCAGGAAACCCTAGTGGCATAGTGGTTAAGAGTTTGGCTGCTAACCAAAACATCGGCAGTTCAAATCCACCAGGTGCTCTTGGAAACCCTGTGGGGCAATTCTGCTCTGTCCTGTAGGGTCACTATGAGTCGGAATCAACTGGACTATGGGTTTGGTGTTTGGATCCACCTTCCCCTAATTTTGGGGAGTTGTGTGGGCAGAATACGACCAACTTGCATCAAGGGCAGATTTATTTTAACTTTATTTCTCATCCCTAGACTTGTGGCAGCATTAAGTATCTCAGTTTTGCTTAAGGTAGGTAGGTCATAAACAAACTAAAGCGATTTCTTTGCTATGAGCAAGAGACTCACAGAATACACGAAATGCTACCTTTAAACAAAACAAACCCTAACACGAATTGACAGAGGAGCATAAAGAAGTAGTGCAGTGAGCCTCAATAAAAGGCCATAGGGATTCAGGAGGCTGAAGTTGTCTGTTTTAGGAACAGATTATATATCTTATCTGATGACCCAGATTTAATTTAAGTGACTGCTTCTGCCTGTCCTTCCAAAGGGCAAGTGTGTGAAATAGAGCATCTCAATGTCAGCCTCGAGTCCTTTCCTCCGCCTGATGCTTGACCTAAATTGAACATGTGGGCATTGATCTGCACAAATGAAAGGGTCTAAAACTTTGCTGCCATTTGAGTTTCATCTTTAATGTCGGTCGGTTTGAACATTTTGGGGGTAGCACATATCCATGAGCAGATTTAGAATCAGTTTATTTCCCATTCATAGAAATTAAATCTTTTTTTGTATTAGAAAGTGAAAAATGTTGCATTAAAAAAATGTCATTGCTGTTAGCCACCTTGTTTTTATTTATTCTTCCCAAAAGAAATAAAATAACACTCTCTATGAAATAAGGACCCCCGGTGACACAATGGTTACGTGCTTGGCTGCTAACAGAAGGACTGGCGGTTGAAACCCACCAACCACTCAGAAGAAGAAAAGACCTGGCAATCAGCTCTGATAACCTGTTGCCGTGGAGTCAATTATGACTGATCGCGAGCCTATAGGACAGAGGAGAACTGCTCCCATAGGGTTTCCAAGGAGCGGCTGGTGGATTGAACTGCTGGTCTTTTGGTTAGCAGTCAAGCTCTCAACCACTGTGCCACCAGGGACACTTCCAGTAAAGATTACAGCCTAGGACACCCTATAGGGTAGTTCTAATCTGTTCTATAGGGTCGCTATGAGTCCGAATAGACTTTACGGCACATAACAACAACATCTACGAAACCCACCAGAAATGAGATTCCAGATTAACTGGTATTTTGGGTAGTGGCCCCAAGATACTTTTCTCATGTCCATCTCCTTTTTTTTTTTAAAAAAAAAGATTTCTTCTTCTGTTCAGGATATGAAATCTCATGAAATGTTTCCACGCTGGCACTTTCACCTTCCTAATTACACCATTTAAGCACCTACCACAGAAATGCTCATTCTGGGTAATTATGATTATAATTACTGGGGCTTCTGGCTACTTTAACAGAAAGAACTAAAACACTGAAGGAGTCAGAAACTGACTAAATGCAATGGCGAGCCAAGTTGAGTACTTGGACATGGTTCTCCATTGAGCAAGAAGAAAACTTCAGGCAAGTCATGCCAAAGCTTGGTTCAGATTATACATCTTTTACTACTAAAAAACAGACACCCCAGAAGGGACTATACTTTTGTTTTACAACAGTTTCATAATTACTGACAGCCCTTATACCTATTGACAGCAAAGGGTTTGAAAAGTTTCTGGCTTTCCTTCCCCAAAACACTTCCCCCAAAAACTGTGGGAATGATTTTAAATTATTCCCTTTATTAAAGTCTTATGAATTTGGTTTGGAAAAGGGAAGAATTTCCAGTACAACCTTTGCACTGTTTGGCAAAGTTATTAGCAACTGAAAAATAATCATAGATTTATTTTTAATATACATATTAACTGGATTTAATCTAAGAAACCTACTTTGTGTATCTGTTCCAAAACAGACTGTAAGTAATACAAAAATATTTTCCAGAGACAAATCAACCCAACGGACACTTATTGAGCATTTACAATTTTAAAAGCATCTTTAAACTCTGAAAAGATTTGGAAATCTATGTACTGTTCATCTTTGTGGTGTTTGTTATTGTATTATATGTTCACAGATATAAATGTGTGTTGTTCATTTAAAAACCATATACAACCTCTGGTATTTACAGAGTTCAATCCAGTAGAGAAGATAAAAACAAACAAAAGCAAAACAAAACACCATAATTTTAACACGAATGTCACTTTAATAATAGCTTAGATTTATTGATAGCTTTGCTCATCTCACTTTCCTTATATTAACCATTTATTATCACAAGCTATATTATTATTATTATTTTTTTTTGGTAGAGAATGCAGACATACAAACTGTCTTTACACATATAAAACTTTTCTATGCATGGTGAATTGTGTCAATGTAAGAAATGCACTTTATTGAGCAGCATGGTGTAATAGATAAACAAAGAGCAATAGAACTAGGTCAATGGACCTGGGATATGCCAGTCACTTGCTTGGTTATGTAACCTCTCTGAGCTTTAGTTTCCTTATTTTAAAATCTGGATAATAAAATCATCCTTATATACTCTAGTTCATTTAATTTCCAAACAATTCTTTGTAAGAGATATTCAGTAAGGGTCAGAATGAAAACCGTTATTACTCAAGGAACAGAGGTTTAAATCCAGTTCTAATTATCTAATGCTTTGTCCCTTCAAAAACAGCTGCTTTCCCATTTCTAAAATTTAAAACAAACAACAACAACTAAAAAGAATGTTTCTTTCTTTAATAGCCTCCAAATATATCAAATTTTTTAAAAAATTAGCACAATAGCATTCCCAGTAAGATACAGCACTCTGCTTTCTTACCTGGTAGGTGGTACAGATTGACAGGCAGGGAGAACTCTTCAAGACAGGTAGTTCTAAGAAGGATTGGTGTCTACTTAAAAGTTACAATTAACCTTAATTAAACTTTTTTCCAGTTAAGAACCCTTGATTAACCTAATGCATCACTGCCTTAATCTCCAACATTCATGTAGAGGGTGAAGACTATAGTGTGTTCAGGCTGATAGGATGATGATGTGTTCACCAATTAAAATAGTTTGTCCTTGAGCTTATGTCATGAATTGTTTAAAATCATACCAGCATGACATTGGTTCTATGTAGAATTAGGCTAGTGTTTAAATATTTTGGTCCTGTTTTAAATTTAGCTAGTCCTCATTTTTCGTATTTTTCAAGGTTTGTCCCCTGGGAAATATTTCAGTGTTTCCTTGTTCTGAAAGATAGACTTCTACCTGAAACAAAGAAAGGGAAGAAAATACATACATTACTACATTTTTCCAAAAGCCATGAGTTTATTCTGTAGATAAATTATATCAAAATTATTCTTTTATGAGTAATTAACCATTTAAACGAACAATTTTTAAGAAAAACAGGCTTTTTATAGATAATTGTCTTTTTACTCATAGAGTGAATTTGGAATGAATTGATTAATGAAAATTTAAATCAAAGTTGAAGCTAGCATTTTTTTCTTTTTTTCCTAATGAAGATCCATTATGACAACAGCGTCACCATCTTAACTTCCACATCCTGTGCCAGGACCATAGTAGGCAGTGTTTTGTTTTGTGTATCAAAGAAATGGAGTACTCTTGATCCAAGACTTTGCAGTATTGATTCATTAATCTGTCAGTTTGGAAAGGATAGACAGTTTGGTTGATATTCAAAATAATTCTAAAATTAACCCCAGGTAAATACTATAGTTGTCACTAAACTTGTCTGATAAGAATTATGTAAATTTATCTTGGAAAATTAGGAGTATTATGTGTGTTAGAGAAAATAAGTATTTGCTGGGGATAATCTATCAGCCTTTGAAAAAAGGCAGACCTCTTGCTTACATAAATTGTTTAAAACATACCCAGAGACCTGAAATCCATAATCAGAAAACACATTCTAGAAACAATAACATATTATTACATATTATACAGAGAGATTACAATCATATTTTCAGAAAATTGATAACATCTTTCAAATTTTCTATGCTTCATTCAAAACTTAATCTGCAACTTAGAGTCTCCCAAGCTTTTTGACTGCATTCTTCACTAAATATGTTATTAGAATACCTTACTATTTTTGGAAGATATTGTGAATGTATTTCTGGCTTCATAAATTATACAAGCATCTGTTCTTTCAATCAACAGGATACCAAATGTTTTTTACATCAATCTGTGTAAAACAACATATATAATACTATTTTTTTTTTCTCATGAGGGTTCAGTAAGTACTGATTAGGATGGTAGAAAAGGGCTGAAAAATAGTGAAAAAAATATATATTACAAAGTGTGTAAGATAGTGGTAATTTTTGAGTGGAATTTATGACATAAAAGTAGTTATGATACTTTTCTGGTTGTCTCTTCTACACAGTAATTTACAAATCAATGAGATTAGTAGAACCTGACAAATTTCATAAGTACAAAGCTGCATCTCTAACAAAAGCTTATTTCTTGTGGTTTTAACACTATATATGACACTATATTAAGAAAATGTAAAAATTAAAAAAAAAGATATTGAATTCTAATACATATTACATGGATTTTTATTTACTCCTTCAAAATAACTCATAAGAATTTATTCTCTAAGAATGGATAATCTAAAGTAGACTTGGACATGCAAAAAGGTCTTCTAAGCATTGCCTAATGTAATCAACAGTCTACTATGTCATTTCACGGATGACTTGTGATCCAAGAAAAGATTCCAGTCAGAAGATAAGACTCCTTTACAGTTAAATATTATATTTCTCAATAAGTCCTATGAAAATACAATATCTTATCTCAGGTCACTCATCAGATTTGTGCTACTATGACATATTGAGTTGGAACTGACTTGATGGCAACGGGTATGACATATTTGGGCTGCTTAAAAGATTTACACATTGAGTTTATAAAGAAAATGTTCTAAATTCTACTTTGGTGAGTAGCATCTGGGGTCTTAAAAGCCTGTGAGTGGCCATCTAAGATACTCCACTGGTCTCACCCCTTCAGGAGCAAGGGAGAATGAAGAAAACTAAAGACACAAGGGAAAGATTAGTCCAAAGGACTAATAGACCACAACTACTACGGCCTCTACCTGACTGAGTCCAGTAGAACTAGATGGTACCCGGCTACCACCACTGACTGCTCTGACAGAGATCACAACAGAGGGCCCCAGGCAAAGCTGAAGAAAAAATGTAGAACAAAATTCTAACTAAAAAAATGACCAGACTTACTGGCCTGACAGACTGGTGAAACCCCAAGGGTATAGCCCCCAGAAACTCTTTTACCCCAGTAATGAAGTCACTCCAGAGGTTCACCTTTTAGCCAAAGATTAGACAGAACCGTAGCACAAAACTGGACTAAAGGGGCATACCAGCCCAGGGGCAAGGATTAGAAGGCATGAGAGGACAGTAAAGCTGGTAATAGGGAACCCAGGGTCGAGAAGGGAGAGAACTGACATGTCATGAGGTTGTTAACCAATGTCATAAAACAATATATGTAGTGTTTAATGAGAAGCTAGTTTGTTCTGTAAACCTTCATCTAAAGTTCAATAAAATATACATATATCATTTAAAAAAAGATTTATGCATTGAGTTTGGACCCTGATAAATTCCCTTTCTAGCCCTGAGAGTCTGTGATTTTTATAGTTTTTATTCTATTTTTGATTCTTCTTAGAGAGAATAATTCTAGAGGACTTTATTAACATGTCCTCATTTCTACATTTTAAAAGAAACAAGCAAAAAATCCAGTATTTACTTAACAATTCATAGTACTTTATCTTTTTAAAAATATTAATAGGTCTGCTTGTTCTTTGAACAGTAGGACCATGTGGCAACTTGATACACAGAAATCATAACTGAGGAAAGAGAAAACAAAGGACTTCATTCAGAGATTACTTTATGTTAGCGTCAGCATAAGAATGCTCCTATGCGTAACAATAATCCAGATATTCTAACAATTTTCAACTACTCATTATACGCTTCACAACTGTTTCTCCTCCAGAAAAGTGACATGAAACGTTATTAAATGTTCAAATATGTTTCCATAGACAGACAGACAGATAGAAAATAGATAGGTAGATAGAGGATAGGCTGACAGAGTGATATATGAGAAAGTGACTTCACAATATGAAAGAATGTTTATATATTTGCAGAAATTCTGATGACTTAACAAAATTTCATTGATAGAAGAAAATCTATCAGAGATGAGATAAATCGTCTTTGATTTTATTAGGTGAAAGAGAAAATTATAATTTGAATTAAGTGATCTTTACGAATTTATGATTTACAAACCCTAAAGGACACCCTCCCACCACTAACCAACTAGACAGCACCTAGTTGCAAAGATATTATTATATCATAATTTTCAGAATTATTCCTTTTGAATTTAATTCATGAGTAATAGCTCATTAATAGTATTCATTATAAATGGTTATGGGAGATGAATGCAGAAGAAAACAGACACAATGACTCATTTGCAGAACTATTTTCAACAATTTGTTATTTGCCATTCATAGCAAAGTGGCTTTGTATTTTATTTTTTAAGTCAGAATGAGTGAGGGTACTAACCAGATAATTTTGGATCAAGTAAACTTCGGTGCTTTTTTATATCTGCTCTGAAACTCCAGTTAAATTTGCTACTCTTCCCAGTTTCCTGTCTGAAAGCTAGTTTTTAGTTGCCTGGAACCTGTTAAATAGCCGCCACATTCCAACCTTGAGGCTAATGCTTTTAAGTGATGAGTGAATTATACAAATGCAAATACAGTTAAATTTCATCTGGAAAAAGGTCTAGAGATGCAGAGATTTTGAAAAAAGCTCTTCAGCCATAAGAGCATAAATGTGCCTGTTAAGTACTTTAAATAATTTACGGAAAAAAGGTGGTTATTACCGTGCAGATAAACAGATCATATATCCATAGAATGAAGAAAAGGAAGATTTATTCTCTTAAGATATTGTATACTCCAATTGATAGAGACTCAAAAGTTCTGAATAATTTGTGACAAACTATCAGATAGTGACAGAATTCTATTATCACTTCCCACTCCCCCTCCCTCTTTTTTTTTTTTTTTTGGATTCCTGGTGGTGCAGTGGTTAAGAGCTCAGGCTGCTAACCAAAAGGTCGGCAGTTCAAATCACCAGCCACTCCTTGGAAACCCTATGAGGCACTTCTATTCTGTCCTATAGGGTCGCCATGAGGGGGAATCAACTCAACAGCAATGGGTTTGGGTTTTTGGTACTCCCCTTTTTATCACCTTATGCATATTACGTATTAGCTTCTTCTTTAACACTTCTGTTTCCTAATTATTAGGTATTGCTGTTGTCATTAGCTGCCATCAAGTTGACTCCAACTCATGGCAACCCCGTGAGTTCAGAGTAGAACCACATGGTTTTTTTCGATGGCTGGTATTTCGGTAGTAGAACTCCAGGTTCTTTTTCTGAAGTGCTTCTGGGTGAACTTGAACTACCAGGCTTTCAGTTAGCAGCCAAGTGTGTTAACCATTGTAGCATCCAGGGACTACTTAGTTATTAGCTCAGGATCAGTTTTTCAAAATTGTACAAGAAGAAAATAAACATTTTTGTTCCATATGTATACCCTGAGACTTAATGGCCATAGATATTTCCCATTGATCTTTAAAATGAGGGGATAATAAGGTAGTAGAATAGGTTAATGACATATACACAAAGAAGATATAGAATTTTATAACTGATGGTTTTTTTCTAGTGAAATCTTCTCTAAAAATGAAAAATAAGTACACCAATAATTTTACTAAAGTACTTCTTATGTTTCTCTTTCTCTGTTTCTCCTACTAGACTATGAAATCTTTGAGGTCAGAGACTGTCTCTTAGTCATCTATGAACCTTTAGGATCTAACATATTTCCTAGAATACAGAAGGTGCTCAATGTGTGCTTGTAGAAAAACGAGATTCTTCTTCTTTGATTCCCTGGTACACATCAATAGCTAGACACTGAACTGGACACTGTCTATATCCCTCTAACTCTCCCTTCCTCTGTTTAACTGACGTCATATGGAAAAGTGTAGAACCAGCTGACTTTCATGGTGGAGCCCTGTACGTCTGGTTGTACTGGAATCTAAGGTCTGAGTCACGGAATCTAATTATCCTCAAAGTCTCAGACATGGAAAAGCTCACCTCCAGAATCACCAAATTATGGCAGTATGCAGTCAAATTAAAGATAATTCTTGTTCTTTAATAAAGTGCCTCACTTTGTTAAAATTAAGAATTTTACTCTGTTTTGAAAACAGACTATATATTTTCTTCTAATTATATGATCTAATTATATGATTACCACATGTTTAAAATCTATACTAATGAAAATGATTATTTCCCTTTGATTTTTGACAGACTGTATACTTCTCATAGTATTCTCAGTTTTGAAAACATTTCTACATTATTTTTATTGATCAGGATACATGGGTACTATGAAAGTTTAATTGTTTGGAGTCCACTCAAAATGATATTTATTCATTAGCTGTTCCAAGTTTTATTTGGAGAAAAGATTTTATGTCGGGAGAGCAGAGAAGGTGGTGTTCTGCTCTATCTAGACAAAAGCCCTCCTCAGAAATGACTTTACATGTTTCTGTCCCTACCAAAACATACTTTGGGTAGTGGGTTTCATTCCCACTAAAGTAACTAAGGATTTCTTTTAATCACAAACAATTCCTTCATTGAGGTAAGTGCTGGTAAAAAAAAAAAAAAAAAAATATTACATCACATTTTTGTATTCCCAGAATTTGGCTGCTAACCAAAAGGTCTGCAGTTCGAATCCACCAATCGTTCCTTGGAAACCTTATGAGGCAGTTCTACTCTTTCCTATAGGATTGCTATGAATCAGAATAGACTTGACGGCAACTTTTATATATATATATATATATACATATATATATATATACACATATACCTGGGTGTTCTGGACAGATAGCCAGATAATCTGGCTCTGGTCATTAGGATGACATTCAGAGGTATTTCATTAAGAACAAATAAAAATCAGTTTTATTTATTTATTTTTATTCTAATCTTTGTGAACCAATCTGATCAATGATTTTCAGCTATTCTTGAAAATTGAATAATTCTCATAGAATAGTTTTCTTCTTTGAATATCTTTGAAAAGTTGGATTAAGAAAATAAGTGAAGTTGACTTCTCTGAAGACAAAGAGTTGTGATTCGTGGCTGATTCCCTGGCATATGGTGCCATCTTCCAAGGCAATTGCCTCTGGGAGTTCAATGTTATTTGGATGTATGTGTTGGGATATGTTTACCCCCAAACCAGTCATATTATCATAAACATTGATATTTCAATATATATTTTTAAAAAATCAATAAATAGATTTGTTCCACGGCCAAATTATAGAAACACAAAGGCTTATTTACTAATGGCAAAGATACTGTCAAGTATGATGTTCTTAATGGAAAATATTCTAGCATTCTTTTTATTTGAATTTTTTATTGAAATAATTTTAGCTAGAAGATATTTTTCCTCAAAAGATCCCATTAAAAAGACCATTAAAAAATACCATAAAATAACACTTTCTAGAGTCTTCTTTTTCTAACACTTCTTTTGCTTTTATTAAATTCAGTTTATATCAATGTCTGAATAGTTGATAATTACATTGTTATATAATCGCTTTTGTTTTATTTTCCAATAGAACTTTCTTTTCAAGACACCTATTGACGTGGTAATTTGTGGTCATCATATTGCACCTGGAGCACTGATAGCACAGGGGTTAAGAGCTCAGCTGCTAACCAAGAAGTCAGCAGTTTGACTTCACCAGTCGCTGTCTTGAAATGCTATGGGGCAATTCTAGTCTATCCTATAGGGTCACTATGCATCAGAATTGACTCAGTGGCAACAGGTTAGGTTTTGGTTACACTGTGCCTAAATTTGCCTTTCTTAATGTTATATTGGATTTCTGTTTGTTGCACAGAAGAAGAAATGCTGATCAGAAAACTACAAATGGAATTATATAGTTACCTAAAAGGCTAAGTATTCCCAAAATAGTTTAAAACATATTGACTAATTTTGAGCAATCCCAGTTAGTTTCTCCCCATATCTCATACTTAACCATGGGAAGACATATTTTACATAATGAGATTTACAGAGAAATTCTGCCATTCTGGGGAGAGCTATAAAAATATACTTTGCTTCAGCCTATTTTCAGTTTTTATTTTCTGACAAAAAAAAAAAAATTGTCAATTATTTGTCAAAAAATCCCCTTAATACTTTTTAGTTTCTTGGGGTAACAAAAATAGGTTGCTAAATGGAGGCTTTTAACCTAAATACTCATTCAAACATAGATTATTTCATATTCTCATCTCTATACTCTGCCCAGTTTTGTTAAAATCACCTGAATGACATAAACTTTTACTAATTTATACTGATTTCAAAGCAACCACAAAAACACACAATTCTTTGGACCCAAACTACAAGACTCTGTTTTTAATGAGCAAGATTAGTGCCATGAAATATCTTTCAGGAAGCACTTTTGAGTTATAGCAGCTTTCCCATACTATACTAAAAACAACTGGGACACTCCAGAAAAATATTATCTTCTCTTTGGGAAAAATAATTACTACTAAAAAGCTGAAAATGTCTATCGGAGACGAAAGATATAAACAAATAAGCTTTCATTTCTATTATGGGGAATAGCCTGGGGCATATGGCAGAAGTAATGGCAAGGGGTTCAGTATTCTTACTGCTTTTAAATATAACTTTTAATTTTAGTTCAAGTTAACATTTTATTGACAGAACAATTTTTGTAAACCTCTATGGTTACTAAAGATACCTTATTGGAATGGACAGTAAAATTTTAAAATTAGATGGAAGCCCATTATCACAAATTTGGAGTATTTTACAAGAAATAATAGAATAAAAATATACACAGCATACTGAGAAATTCAAAACAGATGTCTCCTAAAATGCAGTATATTTACATACTTGTAAGTAGTGTATCTTTCCAAGACATGACATTTCTTCTTAAGGAAAGTTCGTGTTTATCTATGGAGATGGGGAGATGGTGGGAGAGGGAGAATACATTTTATTCCAAGTTCTACACTTGATGAAACTATATAAAGTTGTGTTTTTACAATCATTCCAAGTGTGCCAAGCATTTCCATTTGAAGGAACATTTGAGTGAAGAAAGTTTGATGATTTATTTTAAGTTGATTGATTTTCATGCTTTTGTACATGTACTATAGAATACTCACTCAGCCCTCACTCCATGATTTTTATATTTTTTGGAGACTGATGTGTTAAATATATACTAGAATTGTTTTCAAATATGTCCCTACAGTAATAAGGCTGAACTTGAAGGCCCCATCACTTCCCTTACTTTATAGCTTGAGAGTTTGCTTTAGAGCTTTCGTCAAAGTATGTTCAGATGGTGCTACAACATCTTGGAAAACTGAAGTTCAGATTTCCAACCAAAGAACAACCCACTTTTTCTTAGCTTTAAAAGCAAACATGAAAACCAAATGCCTCACCTCTATTGCTAATTTAGCAACTGCACATCAAAGCCCTTAATATAAATAAATGAATTATTTTTCTGCCATCTCAACTTCCGTCTAAAGCTACCTTTGTTTATTTTTTTTTTTTTAGTGAATTTAAATAAACAAACAAAAAAGTGAGAAAAGAAATAAAGAAAAGGCTGGAAGAAGGAAAGGAAGTAGGAAAAGAAAGAGAAAAGAAAGAAGGGGGGTGGGGTGGGGGGAGAAAGAAAGTAGAAAAGAGAGAAGGAGGGTAAAAGGGAGGGAGGGAGGAAAGCAGGAAGGAAGGAAGGAAAGAAGGAAGGAAGGAAGGGAGGAGGGGAGGAAGGGAGGAGGGGAGGAAGGGAGGAAGGAAAGAAAGAAAGAAGAAAATTTCCAATTGGGCATGCTGACATCCTAACAGATGGGCGAGGTTATAGACAGCCAGGAGAAGCTTATAAGCATCAAGAGGGAAAAATGATCTGGAACTATCTAAACATTTAGTTTTCCTGAGAGTCAATTCCTGAATTAGATTTGAGAGAACATTATTATAAACGCCTTAAGATGCAGTTATTGAATGGAGTCTTCTTTTGTTCTTTAATCTCAACAATAGCCCCACTTGAGATTCTGTACTTCAGCTGAGTTAGAATCTTACTCTTTTGCATTATTCTATTCCTGGAGAGTTTTCTAACTGAACAACAGGTAGTGATTATATGCTCCATTAGCTAGTAGGTTACATTTATAATCAAAGATACAATTTTCAATAGCGGCTTTATTTTAAGAAAAGGAAGTAACTAGAAAGGTTTTTTAAATTATCTTTGTTTTCCCTTTGAAATTGAAAAATTTGAAATATCATGGTTTAATTTCAGAGACTGTCTATATGAGGAGTTGACACTCTATAAAAGTTATGTTACACTTTAAAAGAGATATGCACCACTTAGATTTTTCTTTGGTTAGTTAAAAGTGAGTATAAATATGGAATATTTCCCACTTAGTTAAAAAAAGAAAACTTAAGGAGAAACTCTATATTAATAATAATCTCATAAGGTATTGCTAAAAAATATATAAACTCATTCCATTTCTTTCATTAAAAAGAATATCCTGTTGACAATCATATAGCCTATCAAAATAGATTAGTATTTAAATTTCCCCTTCTTTGGATTTTCATGACTTAGTCTAGTCAAATCACGTGATTTCATAAAAGAGGAATTGGTGACTCAGAGAAGTTAAATGACTTGCCTAAGACTCCATAAAAATGTAGAAAGAGCCAAGAGTCAATTCCCAATTCAGGGCCTTTTCAAATTATCACTTCCTATCACTTCCTCCTTTTGCAGATGCTCAATGATGCTCATAAAAACAAAAGCAAAAAAAAAAAAAAAAAAAACCAAAAAACCAACTCGCTGGCATCCAGTTGATTCCGACTCCTAGCGACCTTATAGGACAGAGTAGAACTGCCCCCAAAGAGTTCAAAGAGTTTCCAAGGAGTGCCTGGTGAATTTAGACTGTAGAACTTTCGGTAAGATGCCAAGCTCTTAACCACATGGGTTGGGGTAAAAGTCTCTTACCAATTTCAAGACTGATTATTGCTCTAACTCTTGTTCTAATTTTTGATTTATTTTATGAGTTTAATATATTTTAATTTTGTAATGGGAACCCTGGTGCACAATGGTTAAGCACTCGGCTGCTACTCGAGAAAGGTCAGTGGTTCAAACCCACCAGAAAGATGTGGCTGTCTGTTTCCATAAAGATTACAGCCTTGGAAACCCTATGGAGCAGTTCTACTCTGTCCTATAGGGTCGCTATGAGTTGGAATTGACTAGATGGCAACGGGTTTAATTTTGTTATAGTCAAAAGATAACACGTTGCGTTTTATAATATTAGTGATAACAAAACATATTTGCTACCCAGCAATGGCATAGCAGGGGAACTGCGCTGGCCCTGAGCACCTGGCACCACTGAGCAGTTTCTGTTAACCCAGTAAGGCCCAACGTGCTTCCTCAAGCACGAGAGTGCGTTAATTAAAAGAGTAATGAGATTGACTTGTATTTTTTATTATCTAAAGGAAAGAAGGGTGTCAGCAATTTGGACAGGGGCATGATTTCAGTGCTTGCTATAGGTGCCATTTTCTGTAGATACGCTACTGGTCATACCAGGTTAAAAGAAACTCCTCAGTGGCACCACAGGCCCAGAGCCGGTGCAATACTTGCGATACCTGCCATACCTTAGTTATGCGCCTGCCGAGTCCCGGATTCTAACTGCCTCTCTCTCACTCTCAACAAATGCATTTAAGAATCCCAAGCTTGAGAGTTCCTTCATAGCGATCCTACAAGACAGAGTAGATCTGTCCCATAGGGTTTCCAAGGCTGTCTTCCAAAGAGCCATCAGCAAATGCATTTGGTCTCAAACTGTTATAAAACATAAACGTCCATTCAGTATTTTGTTCTGAAGAGCATGGGTGCTTAATAGACTTTTTTGTTGTTGTTATTTTTACCTGGGACAAAGAGTTGAATGTTCTATATTTTGTAATTAAATACAAAACACCCTTATCTAGTTCTCAAACCCTTGGATACTTTTCCTTTCTCTTGTTTTCCTCTTCCTCTTCTTCCTCCTCCTTTTCTTTAAGCTCTTCTTCCTCATTTTTCCTTCCTTCCCTCTTGCTCTCCTCCTCTTTCATCTTCTCCAGAAAATAAAGTATGTACCTTATTTTTCAAAATTTGAAAGGAAGAAGGGTAAATCAAAGCTTGGAAATAGAAGAAAGCATTACTTACAGATATATACTTCAGGCTTAAAATTATATTTTCTCAATATAACTTCCTATCATTGAATTTATATCCAACAAATATTAAAAAGTTCAACTTCTATTTGAGAGATGTGAAAGAAATTCAACAACATTTATTATTATTACAGATATTTAGTTAACTATTACACTAGTTTGAATTTTGTTATTGATGGATTTCTTTCTTGCATTCTACTCTCTATATATCAATTGGTGTATATAGATAATTTGATTCTTAAAATGTAAAAATGTTCTAAATATATAGGAAAAGGGCAAGTGGAAAGTCCATAAATATGGGAAGAACCAACTTTTCTGAAGCATTGTCCAACTGGGCCCAAAGCTCATTTCAGAAATCTGCAATTCTCTATTGAATCTCTTTGACCTGTCAGACATCAGAGCTAAAACTGGTCCTGGGCCCCTTCTTTACCGTCCACATGTGTGGCAGAATCATGGTCCTGAAACTATGAGAAAAATCAACGAGCAAAAAACAATATGGTAGCTTTTCCTCTATGACTCCTTGATGAAAAGGATTTGGGGAGTAGATTTCCCAGAAATAAATAATGTTCTAGGTGACAAGTTTTTTAAAAACAATTGTTTTGTTTAAGAAACATCAATTATTGTAAGGAATTTCCCTGCATTATTATGTAAATACAAATAATTAGAAAAGGTCAGGTAGAATAATTTTTTTTCTTTCTAAAAGGAGAATAACCCAAGTTAAAATTAGTTTTCCATTCATTTGAAACAGAGGGCAGTCATGTTGGAGTAAGAGAACTCTGCTAGCAAATTGCAAGATGACATCTGCTGACCCTTCCCTCCCCGCCGCCTATAATTAGCCAAGAAGGCCTGAGTTGGCAGCGCTCACCTACCAGAGTCTTTTGCTTCAGGCTCTTTGCCTTGGTGAGGAAGAATTAGGGTCCCTGGGTACAGCACACTTCACAGCTCTTGGATTTAAAGAAGTAGATGTAACCTGAAGAGGCTGAGTGGTGGGTTTGTTTCTTCTAGGGAGTATCCCAAGGAGCCTCTTAGCTCTCTGCCAGTGCTCAAGTGACAACTTGCAGGTGATATAGCCAAGGATCAAGGCAAGTCATCCGCCTTAGGGCTGTGTATTGTCCCCACACAGGCAGTTCTCCCACGGAGGACTCAGCACGTAAATCAGAGACAGAAAGTCTGCCTGGGTGGAGGTGCCGCTGAGAGTGAAGGAGCCATTGTCTGCAAAATTCTGCTCTTTGCTGAGTGTGTGATTACAGGCTGGAAGAATGCAGCCCTTCAGAGGTTCAAGTGCCTGAATTACAAAACAGTGATTAATTAGGGCAGCCAAAATTCTAAGTACTGAAATCATGAACAAGGTTTTAAAATAAATGAAATTATAACGTATAGTAGGCAGGGTACCCAATTGGTGGTTTCCTTATCGGTTGCTCTCCAGTCGATTCCGACTCATAGAGACCCTATGGGACAGAGTAGAACTGCCCCATAGGGTTTCCCAGGCTGTAATCTTCACTGAAGAACGCTGGTGGGCTGATGATTCAAATGGCTTGGTGGGTTTGAACTCCTGATCTTTTGGGGTTAGCAGCCAAGAGTTTAACCATTGTGCACCAGGGCTGCTTGCTGGTGACCTTCCGACATGTGAAATTATTAAAAGACTACATACTGTACCGCTCTACACGAATTTTTTCAACTGATTTCCATAACTCTTTTTAGAACTAATCATAGAGCATGCTTTTTAACTTAACAAATAAAATCTGCTAAATATAGTCGATGCTTACTCTTAACACAAAGAATCAAACTAAATAATGAGATGTAAGCATGGCCCCTAGTTTTAAAAACCCTCAAAGACTCACAGTCTGAGTCTTCTGGGAAAGGAGCTTTCTTTTTCTATAGTCAGTTTGAAAGACGATGCTTTGGTGTTAAACTGGACCAATTCCCACCTTGACAACTATTACTAGAAAAATTGAAAATTTCTTTGGGTTAATACTAAAAGGGAATTATTTAGTGTTTAAAAATTTAGACTGTGGTTTCTTACAGACCTGCTCTCCTCAACTATCTTTTAAAGAATTAATCAGACTTCCAATAGCAATTTTTCTTCATCATATTTATCATATTCATTGGAAATTCCAGAGAATGTGCTTAATATTGAAAATAGTTAATAAAACATTGTGATCACTAACGGATGTAATATAGCACAACCTTTAATATTATCATTCACTTTCTTGCTTAGGATGAATATACACATATGCTGAATTTGGATTGAGGCTCTCAATACTAAATAGCAAGATCACTTCCTGCTAGGGGGATAATTATAAACAGTGAAATGGCAAGGCTGGTAAGGTTTTGGTGTGTTTGTGAGCTCAAGCAGTAGCTTTGAATAAACAAACTCTGTGACTGGAAACTCTTGCCATTTCATCAACTGATTCTTCAATAAAATACAACTATAGATTATTAAGAGTATGCTATAAATGCAGGGAAATCCATAACAGAGATTAGGATTAAAATAATTCAGGTTCTATGAGTGTGATAGGGACATTGATGTGTCTTAAAAAAAAAGAGTATAACCCATCTTTGTATTAATACTTTTTTCAGTGAAATCTTCCACATTTCCCTCTCTATTCTAAGTTGTCTCGTGTGTTTTTTAGTTGTTGTCAAAATTGTGTAAATTGGCAAAACAGAATTGTTTCTTTTTATTATTTTTAGGTATAATTTATAACTGTATATCAACTCAGAGTATACAAAAAATAACATGTAATGAACACCACGTACATGTCAATTATTCCGCTAAATGCTTAACCCGTCTCAACTTGTCAACAATTCGGTAGGCTCTCTTACTATCAAGTCCAAAGTTGTTACCATGGCTTATATTCATGGTCTGAATGATTTCTCTGACTTTGTCTCCCATCTCTCTTTCTTTCCTCACTCTGCCCCAGTCACATGCACCTCCTTGCTGTTAACAGAGCTGCCGAATATGAATTAGCCTCACGACATTCGCACTGGCTAGTTCCTCGGTCTAGAATGCTTGGCCACCAGATAGCTCATTTTCCTCATTCCACTCAAATCTCTACTCAAAGCTTCCCTTCTTAATGAGGCGGTCCCTGACTACCCTGCCGGCAATAGTGCTTTGGTCACTCTATTTACTTATCCTGTTTGACTTTCTTAACCACAAATATCACCACAGAATATTATAAACCTAAAAAAACCAAACTCATTGCCATGGAGTTGATTCCAGCTCATAGCAACAGAGTAGCACTGCCCCATAGGGTTTCCAAGCAGCGGCTGGTGGATTCGAACTGCCGACCTTTTGGTTAGCAGCCCAACTCTTAACCATTATGCCACGAGGGCTCCTCTAGGACATTATACTAGATATTAATTCAGTCATTTAATAAATAGGCAATGAACATCTAATAGATACCAGACATTTTCTTCCTACTATAATAAAGACCAAAATAGACATATGTTATTGCCCTTAGGGCATTTACCTTCTAGTGAGAAATATGGAAAACAAACAAGACAAATAAGTAAAAGATGTGCTATGTTAGGTACTGACAAGAGCTAAAGATTCAAAAAAGAATAGAGGAGTAAAGGGGAAGAACCTTAACGAGGTGGACTGACACAGTGGCTGTAACAATGGGCTCAAGCATAACAACGATTGTGAGGATGGTGCAGGACCAGGCAGTGTTTTGTTCTGTTGTACGTAGGGTTGCTATGAGTCAGAACTGACTCAACAGCACCTAACAACAACAACAACAAAGGGGATATAAATTACGATGTGGGTGGCATTGAAATTTAAGACACGTAAGCAAGAGTGACTTCTAAATAAGGATCTTAAGATGGGAGGGAGCTAGCCCCGTAAACATCCTGTGAAGAAAATCCCAGGAAAAGGAAATCAAACATACTAAGGGCTTGAGGGAGGAGAAGGCTGGTGTCATTCGTTTATCAGTTGATTTTCTGTCTTCTACCTCTGTAATAAAAGCTCCATTAGAGCAGGGAATTTATCTACCTGATCACTTCTGAATCCCAGAGCTTAGAACAGTAACTGACACTCAGTAAGCTTGGAGTAAATATGTCTGAATACATTAAATAAATTAATTATCCTCAGTTTACAAATGACTAAATTGAGTCACAGCAGTTCAGTAACTTGCTTAAAGTACCCAAGGAATAAGTGGTGGACTAAAGATTTGAACCAAAAAAATCTAACTCCGTAGTCTGTGTTCTAAGTGCTATTTCCTGTTGCTATAGCAGCTCTTTAATGTGTAGACTAAATGGCTGACTTGGGAATCAGAAAAGACTATTGAAGAACAGAAAGACAATAACTACAAAGGGTGAGCATTCTGGATTACCTATTTTTTACAAGTTAGAAAGTACATGGCCAGAAATAAGTCCAGAATTGTCTTAATCAAGGCTAATGTGATCACCACGAGACAGAATGGCAAAAGATGGGAAGTTAGTCTTGGCCCAATCATTTATTACAGTATAATTTGGGGTGGTTTCTTGTCTCTGTGTCTCGGTTTCCCTGGTTATAAAATGAAAAGCTTGGCTAGATAATCCCTAAATCCTTTTCCACTTTAACAGTCTTTTTTTCTCTAACTATCGTTGTTGTTCTCTGCCATCGGGTCAGCCCATCACTCATGGCAACCCCGTGCCTGGTCCTGAACCATCCCCATGATCCGTTATGGATTAGACTATCGTGATCCATAGGGTTTTCACTGGCTGATTTTCAAAAGTAGATCACTAGGTCTTTCTTCCTAGTTCTTCTTAGTCTGGAAGTTCTGCTGAAACCTCTTCAGCATTATAGCAATGCTCAACCTCCACAGACAGATGAGCGGTAGCTGTGCTTGAGGTATGTTGGTCAAGAATTGAACCCGGGTTTCATGCATGGAAGGTGCAAATTCTACCACTGAACCACCACTGCCTCCATCTCTAAACAGTAAGTTTCTGAAAATACTTTGAATAATTCTTGTTCACTCAAGAGATGAGTAGAAATTATCCATGAAGAGAAATTAACAGAGGCATTCCAAGGAGAAGGAGTTATTGAGAGATGACAACGAGGCATAAAAATTCATGTGTTAGGAAAATGGTCCATGGCTTATACTGGTAGTGTGGCTGGAACACAGATGAGTAGAAAGGAGAGAAGGATGCTTGAAGTTGTTAAGTTTCATGAGCCCAGATAGTTTTCAGTACTATGGTAAGCAGGTTAGACTCTAGCCTACGGCTACTAGAACGTGTTGACAGTTTTTACATAGTTACCAGCGTTGTAGTATAGGCTATAGCAAAAATTAGTCACGTTCTAGTTCTAAGATGCTTTCTTTGATGTGAATTCTTTTAGGACAAAGCAGAGAAGGAAAAGACAGAGGTTTAAAAGATTATTAGAATACATTATATAAATGTAAATATAACACTTGAAGACCTTCCTCCCCTCCTTCTACTTCCTGTCCCATGCTAGGTAGCTGTGGCTTGGAAGGCATGACCTGTCTGCTTTCATGGCCCTTCTCACACAGCGAAGACAGCATTCAATACTAACACAGAAGCTTACCCTTAGATCACCCAACTGTGTATGAGGTGCAAGTGTTAAAAGAACAATTCTAAATTGAATACGGTCGATTTTAGAAATTTTAAAATGCTATACATACACAGGAGCCCTGGTGGCACAGTGGTTCAGAGCTTGGCTGCTAACCAAAACGTTGGCAGTTCGAATCCACCAGCCGCTCCTTAGAAACTCTAGCAGGCAGTTTTACTCTGTTCCATAGGGTCGCTATGAGTCGGAACCGACTCAGCGGCAATGGGTTTGATTTTTTTTTTTTTAATACATACACAAGACTAGCAATTGTAGAAAGAAATTACAGTTTCTTTCAAGTGGTTGTTTCAATGGTCAAAACATTAAAAAACAATAAAAGCTGCTTATGGAGAGGCCCCCTTTTTTTCTCCCGCCTTTCCTTCTCTTCCTGTCTCCTCTCTCCCTTTCCTCCTCCTCATCCTCCACCTTTTTCCCCTCCTCCTTTTTTTGTTATGCTGTGCAGCAGCCATCTGTGTGATAAGCTCCAGAAGCTTCCCCTTCAGATTGTGATTCACCAGAGCCAGTGCACAGTACTGCCTTTCTCGACTCATGCATGGAAGGTAACCCGTGTGTGCCCTTCATTTTTAACCAGAGATTGTGTTTTTCCCCCTGAGTTATTGTATATGATGTATAGTTCAGTAGCACATTCATAAAACTACACTATAGGCCATGTAAAAAATTAATACATAGTTTCCAGCAATGGTATGTAAAACGAAGCAAGAAAATTTAGTAGAAATCCA